GTCTCGACACCAGTCAGCTTAAGTATCATACTCCATCTCTACACTATCTCGCACATGCCCTGACGCGTCGGCTACTCGAGTACTCGTAACTGAGTGACGTTTGCGAACAGGACTGCTATTGTATGTGCTCCTAATTGAATGACGTTTGCGGGCAAAGCTACTATCGCATGACCTTGAACTTGAATACAGACAGGGTTGCCCATCTGCATACAGTACTCAATCACAGGTATGATAATGTGGCCATAAACATGGATCGGAAACCAACCTTCTTCACGAGTAGGAAAATATATCTGACTTGCCCTACTATTACAAATGGAGAAACCGAAACTTGGCGGAGAACACTTTGTATGGGAGTTACCACCTTAGGTGTCCGGTTCCGGTGCTAGTAGCTAGTATTCCCAGATGAAATCAAGAAGGAAAAGTGGCACAGTCGGTTACAACCCGGCACTACGGTACCGGTTCATCAAAGATAGTTTATTTGTAAAGAAGAAAAGTGAATATTGCGGTAAACATTGGGAAATACGGTACTATAACATGGCTATAATTCAGCGCCAAACTACCGGTATCACACCAGAAATATCATTTCCCGATCCGTCACGGCACAGGCCTCCAATCACCGGATTCGGGGGGAAGCTCCTGAGAAGAGAACGTGCTTTCCGACACCCGGTATGTCCTAAGCCCCTACGGCGCGAATAGACGGACGTGTTGAATCTCATTGGCTGGCATGATGTTAGCAAATTCCAACAACCAGTCAAACTGAACGTACCGCCAGCCGATCCCGCGATATCCGCCGGTTCTCTGAATAGCGAATCACAAAAAAAAACCCCTTACTAGAGCCGGTGGTGTTACTCCAGGGAGATAAAGTTAGTCAACTCATGCAATTTTCCAATAATGAATAGCAGAGTCCCCCGAGGGGGGGAACAACTCTGGCATATTTTACCACGGGCATCCACACATTGATTGGACCGATCACTTTCACACATTGTACATGCACTAGTGACATGAAATGTCCACCGCGAGGCCCCGATGCTCTGTAAAATTTCAAAGCTCATGGCACTTGGGGTCCCCTACTATCAATTCCTTTTTTCCCTTCTTTTTCTCACCGGCCTCGAGAGGCTTAGGTTATCTCTTCCGTGATTCTTGCGGATCCGCTGGCAACTTGTCGTCAGTCAACCAAGTAGACTTATTTACACCGCGGCTTGTGGGGGCTACGGTAATTGTACCCTTCTTTTCCTAGAGGATTGTCCCCACACCTGGCCAACTTATAGATCGTTAGTCTGATAACTGAGAAGAAAAAAAAAGCGGCATATTCAAAATCGCAAAAACTCGCTTCTAGTAAGTCAACCAAAAAACTCATCAGCCTCCAGGAGTCGAAGCCCTATAGGTCGGAGGACCGTGATGAAGTACAGTACCCGGCACTTGCACCTAAGCACCCATGTCTAAAAACACCCCAAACTTCCGGTCCGCTATGCCACAGGTCCACATTTAGGTTTCCGGTACTGTACAGTATGATACCAAAAAATTTATTGCCATTGCCAAGACATCCAAACTCCTTCGTTTCCCGCCCAAAATTCTCCACCGTGAAGGCTAGATCCCGGAGTGCCCCCCAATAAGCCCAGTTAATTTAACTACTTGCCGGGGGTTTTCAAGAAAGCCCCGGGGAGGTACAGTAATACTACAGACAAGAGTAATAAATTAGTTACTACCAGATATCGGTGAATCTACCATGGTCGATGTGCGAAGGGTATATCTGGCACTCACCCACCCACCCACCGCTCTTGCATGACACTGTTTCGCTTGGAGCCGTTATCCGTCCAGTAGCCTTCTCTCCCGCTAAGCAAATCTCAAGTAAGAGGGCGATAGTTGTTTATCCACAAACTCGGAGCGCTATAAAAACGTGGGAATATTCTCGCATGCTGGGGGGAAATACCCACTTTATATCATACTTTACAGACCCCAACCATTACGCCATACCAATCCTCTAGCTCTATTCACAATATCTCACTCGACAGCTCCACGCGTCATTATCTAGATTATATGGTTGTACGAAAGGCCACCGGCCACAAGACGGGGACTTAACCTTTGGTTTTTACGCCCAATCCTGTGACAGAACAATATGTATCATATCATACCACCAAAATCCTAGACCGAATACCCCCCAAAAAAAAACCAAGTCATAGTCAAGCCAGAAGCCCTATGCTGTTAACATTCCGAGATATATTTTCTTCTAGCAGTGGAGAAATTTATAACATAAGCTCCGTTACCGGCACGTAAAGCAGCTTTACGGTGTGGGGTAGGAAACACCGGCAAACGGCCGAAACTCCCTATGCATTGTGATATCATACCCCGTTCCATAGTCTCGGGTCTCAGAGGCATTTTTCCCCCCTCTCCTCTCAAAGCCGCATTTTAATGAAAAGTCCTAGTATTAGCATGTCTAATTTGAGGGATCCTAAAGGTATGATACTTGCATCATACACCCACATCTGTAGCCAGAATGGAGGAATAAAGCTCGCACAATGTTAATATATAGCCACAGGGAAAGGAGAAAGTGAAAGAAATATACTATCGAAAAAAAGAAAAGAAAAAAAATTATAAATATTGACCGCAATATCCAATTAGGACTACACGAGCACTCTTCCTTCCTGCCTTACCCAAAGATTGCAAACAGCGCGCCTAATAATAGATGAGACCTGGGAGACAGTTGAAAATGCCGGATAAGCTGCGCCTCCCCAGTTAAAGGTAACCAGTGGACCAACCCAGCAGGAAATAAGAATCGGTGACGTCCTCGAGATCGTATCATAGAAGCTGTGCACTTTATAGGCCTGGAAAGGCTCAAAGTTCACCAATAAAGTACGATACCGGACCAAAAACGATCCGTCCGATCGGCATTTTTACGCCAAATTCGGTCGAAAAATCAACAGATTCCGACCGAGGGACTACCGTCGACACTACCCCACCCAGTTGGAGGCAATCGAGATTTCTATGACCGGGCGGGAAACCACTCCCGAATCATCCCGATGGAAACACAAATAAACAAAAAAAAGTTGAGATCAAGTTCACGGCCCACGATTGTGTGATGTGACCAAGTGTGAAAATGACTTGAAAAGTTCGTATAGGGGCTCTATAGGAAAAGGTTTACATGGAAACCACATACCCCCCCCCCCCACTCGATCCACATCCCCTCCATGGTTTTACAACTTTTTTTAAAGAGATCTGTAAAGTTATATGTTATTCGGGGTTTTGACAATGTATCGTGAGATTTTGGTAGAATCCTCATGAGCATTAATGCCATCTGGGTGGGGGGTGGTACTTTCGGTGTAAAAAGGCTATCGGACGAAACGATTAGAGCTGGTACGGGTAGTATCACAGCTTCACTACGCCATCACGCACACGCCTGGCAGCTCACAGAAGCGGTGTTAGGGCCATGTGGGCTTTGATGTCGGGCCTGATTTCTTCCCGTGCCAGCAGTAGCTTGGCAAGTTTCCCATGCCCCTTTTGTAGGCACGACAACATCCCCATGTCCGCAAGAGAACTGCCCACGAGAGTGGTGGTAGACCGCAGCGGTCCCGTAAGTTGGGGTCGACATCTTTCCGTCCAAAAAGTAGCCCCACCACTTCACCGTGCCGATATTTGGCGGCGCACAGAAGCGGTGTTCGGCCGCCTTTGTCTCCCCTATCGGGGTTAATCCCTTTCCGTGCCAATAGGAGCTTGGAAACCCCTCCATGTCCCTCCCGTGCAGCCAAGCGGAGCGGTGTTCGGGAGTAACCGTCCGGTATGTTGCGGTTTACTTCTCCCCGCCCCAATAGTACTCGTAACTCCACTCCTCTCTCATGCCCCCCCCCCCCCCTGCAGCCAACAAGCGGGGTGTTTAGTGGGGGTGCTTAGTGGCCGTCACTTTCCATGTAGGGCATGTCGGCATTGACAAATCTCCTTCCGAAGATTTGATCCATCACTCGCAGCGTTTTTTTTTCCCCTCCCCTCCTCTACCAGCCCCCAAACGAGTCTAGGCAGGTTGTACAAGTATCTCTCACAGCGGGGTAAGTCGGGCTGTGTTCCGGGTCGAGGGTTTTCCATAAGTCGGTGGGGTGGGTGTTACTTGTACCACGCTAGGAAAAAAGAAAAAAAACCTTGACCCTTTCATCCCGATTACTGTACCTACCCATTACAAAAAGTATCCGGAGGCCTTGGCGTTTCCTCGGCCCAAACCACCGCAGGGTTTACGGATTCCTTTCGAATGGACAAGTATGATACCACAGTTTACTCTATCTTATCAGATAATCAACTGGCCGAGTGGTAATTGTGGTAGGGTACGGGTGTGGTATGATAGCTGTACTCGAGCACGAGTCTGGTACGGTATTGTAGTCTAAGGTACTGCATGCGCCTATCCAGATCAATCCTCATCCCCACCTCCACAAAAGTCACTCACTACGGTAATCACTCACCCATCGCCAAGCCATTAGTTCCCACCCACCCAGCAACCCAAACCCACATGCTAGCACTAGCACGTGCTTTTTCCCTTCCTTCCGCCCTTCCTTCCTTCCTTCCTCCCTTCCTACGGATACCGTAAGTCACCTTCCCTTACCTCGCCCACCACCCTCTCTTCGCCACAAACACTTGTACAAGCCAAGCGAAGGACCGCATCGCCTTCTCCAACTCACTCCGCCCTACCCAAACTGCGCCCTTACTTACCCACCCCCACATACAAACATACACGCACACGATACCATACCAAAGCGGAGACTTCTCCTTCTTTCTCACCTTTGCACCTCCCTCCACTTCTCCCCCACCGTCCATCATCACCAACGCCGCCTATCCATTCACCGGTCCGTCGGCCAGCCAATCCCCGCCCACTCGCCTTACCCCCTAATCACAATCGCTCAAAAGCGGAAGAGTCAATCAAGTACGGGCATAACTAACAGAACAAAAAAAAATAAAAAATAAAACGAAAAAGAGGGATAGGCCTACACAATAGATAAATAGGTTAAAATAAATATAAAAAAATGCCCAAAGTCTCCTTCGCAACCTTCTTAATAATATGCCGTTAGTCCCCCCCCCCAACTCACCCAGCCCATTTTAACGGACAAACCAGCAACCTGCTTCCTCCTCGGCTCTATCTTCACAAACTGGACCTTTGACCACGCAACCCTCTGGACCTCGCTGCCACCCACAGCGCCCACACTCGCGGCGATAGAATCGCACTACACACAGCTTCACCACGCACCGCCGATCATCCCGCGCGTGCTCCACATCACGATAGGCACGGGTATCCTCGGCTTCCTAGTAAAGCTATACAAGCCGTCGGAGTCGAACATGTTGTTCGACGGCGCCAGCCTCGTGCTATACATGATAGCGCTCGTGATGTACGGCACCAACGTGGTCAAGGGCATGCGCATCATCGCCAGCGGTGATTACGGCGAGGAGGTGGGCCGCGTGGATTCGCTGCGGGTCGTAGCGGCGAGCCAGGTTATTATTGCGCTAGTGCTTGTGGGCGTGCTCGTGCTGCAGAGTGGGCAATGGTATGCCGAGAAGAAGGAGGAGCAGGAGGTTCACGGGCTTAAGCTGAAGGAAGAGAGGGAAAGGGATGAGAGGAGGGGGGGTGGGAAGAAGAAGAATTGATTGTGCTTGTGTACCCTTAGAGCGGACTACGAAAGAGGGGGGAGGACTTCAATGCCTAAATCGATCAATCACCAAAAAAAAAATCTCTCAAGATATGATACAGTACTGGGATGCATATCATACCCAATCCCTTCCTCCCCACATGAATACTTCATTCATATACGTACAGCGACCACCGAATGTAAGAGAATACAGGAGAAATAGGTTAGATCCCCACGTGATAAAAAAAAAGAAAGGAAGGAAGAAAAAGAAAGGAATCAAAATCAATTACCCCCCCCCCCAAACAAAAAGCAAAAAACATAAAATGTTATCAAAAGAAGAAAGAGTTTAACGAAAGATAGAAAGCAAGACTCCATCCCAATGAACCTAATCACATTGCCCACAAACAAACGTTTTCTTTGTGGAGAAAACATGGCCATAAAGGAATGGAGAAAGAACATCTGTTCACCGTCCCACAAAAAAAGCAAACAAGATGTGATATCGAAGACAATAAATAAGTTATACGACAGAAAGGATAAGGTAAGCAAACAATAGACAAGTGAATAAAATACCGGTATAGCAAATAAAGGAAAGGGAAAAAAACACTTTTATGTCACGCTACTCCTCGATTACCCAATCATTGATGATATGATAGATACATGCAAAAGGTTCAAAAAAATGCGACTGCACAGATGGATGGATAGAGCGATGACTAGGTGTCATCGAACATATCGGGGTGGCCCCTCATAGCATTCGTCTTCAAGGATTGGTGCCGAAGGGGCTGGTATTGCTGTCTCCGATGACTCAATGAATCCCGCTGGAGGGGCACTAGCGGCTCGGAGGAGTCTTTGACGCTCCATTTCTAGTTTGTCGTCTTCCGCCATTTGGGTATCGTCCATGCCCGGGGGTGGAGCAGAGGGGTGGAAGCTGCATGCTGCTAGGGAGGAGTCCATAGGAGGGGCACTAGGCAGCAACTGCTCCTCTGCAAGTCTCAGGTAGGTCTTCTCGTCCATCGGGCTCTCGAGCCTAGTCTCGCCTGGTACGAGTGGTAGTAACAGCGACCCATCTACCCGTTCATGTCGGAAATATTCAGGGGCCTCCCCCTCCATCCGATCCGGGGCATCACCCGCCTCCATATGCGAATGCGACAGGCATCTTGGTGTAGAGGGATCAGTGTCATTGACCTCAGAATCCTCCTCCTCCTCGACAGTTTGTGACTGCGTTAAACTCTTGGCCAAAACACCTCCCCTACGACCCTTTCCACCGATCGAATCAACGCTTCCAATAACAATCTCGAATCTGCAAAACACGATCCTCTTCTCCCTCTTTATCCTCTCCGTCTCCACCATAACCCCCCCTTCCACCGCTATCCCAACACTGGCACCACCAGCATCTTTCTCCCCACCTGTACCCGGCCTGGGCAACCCTGGTATGGATGCACCTTTGAAAAAGTCATCCCTGCTACTCAGCTTTCCACCAAGATCCACCACAACCTCCACATAATACCTAAAAGAGACACCGCCGCCCGGCACATTGACGATGGTCGGGAAAACGTCCTCGGGAACTCGCAAGTTTGCTCTGACGACAGTCATAAGTGACTTGGGGTCAATCATCAATGGCAATACCGTCTGTGCCAGGTCCTTACGGAAAGTGCCACCACAGGTCCCTCCACCAGCGGCCGATGAGAGCGCCTTCTTTAGTGGAGGATGGCCGCGCGAAGGAGGGTCGAATCTCGTTTGTCGGTGGAGAGTCAGTATTATACCATTTAAGGACTTGATCGGCTTGTTATGATGTATCGAAATTTTCACGGGAATATTGTCCCCGCGTAAGGCACCTGCTTTCATTAGTGCTATCGATGCAGTAATAGTTTTCGATCGCAGCATTTGTGATGGGTTCACTGTTGGCGTCGGCGATGGAGCTCGGGTCTCGGTGTTTGGTAGATTTCCATTCGAGTTGTTTGGTGATGACGTAGCGGACTGATCCCTCCCGGCCCCGGGTGTTGGGGAAGAAGGTCTTTGTTTGCTCCGTGACTTTTTGGATACAATTGGCTCGAGAGATATAACCCGGGGTTTCGGAGCGGGCAAGCGAGCGATATCAATCGTCTCCACGAACGAAAGCCTCGTAATGCATGTAGTTGTGGGCGAGATGGTAGTAGGTCGGGTCAGCGTTGACGATATTCTGTACGATATTGAGCCCTTCTCAAACTAAACCACCGTCAGTTCCAGACCATATTTGCCTTCCGGGGAAGAAGAGCATCCACGGCACGGGAGACTAACATCCAAAGAACTCGGCAGCCCACCGGCCAACTTTCCAACAGGCACAAAATCCAACTCAAAGCCAAACTTGTAAACCCCAGGCTCAAGTCTCCCCTCCCCACACAGCACCATCTCGTCCCTGCATAACGTGACGCCACCGGATAGCCCATCAAATTCCTCTTCCCATTCCTTTCCCCTCTTTCCCCCACCTTCCCGCGTGGACGGCGAAGCCTGCAAATCCACCCTACCAATAAGATTGACCACCAAATGAGTGAGTGTCAACGACCGCTCAACTTTAGCGCACACACAACCCTTAACAACATCGCTTGCCGAGTACACCCTATGGGGATCGTCCAGTTGAATATGAAAGTCGGTCAATGTCCTCCTCCGGGGCGTCCGTAAACCAGGAAGCGATAACGAAGAAGTCTTTGATCGGAGTCGTGTAAGAAATCCATTTCTCGGGGGGGGCGAGTCGGTGACCATGACGAAACAGTTAAGGAAAATCACGTCCAATACCGAATAAGGGAAGAAGGGAAAAAAAACAAGCTTTAACCCTCGTATTCGCTCTCTCCCACCAATTTCTATGCCTCTCCACGTAAATCCCGTCCAGGAAAAGATTCTCGAGAGGCGTGTAAATAACGAGCTGACGGATGGGGCGGAGAGAGGGGGACGCAAGAAAGGTTAGTGTGCCAGGAGTACGCGTTCACTCTTCGCCGTAGAGACAGAAAGGGGGAGGGTATTCAAAGCGAAATTGAAATCTATACGGCGAACCAGACAGGCTGAAACTCAACCCATTTGACATTTAGTAACAAGAGCAAGAACGGGGCGGGGCGGACCGCCGAGCAATCACTAATAATCGAGAAGAAATCAAAAATGCAGGGAACGCGCGTCCTGTGGCAGCGACGCATGTGAACCGGGAAAAGCTTGAGCAGGAAATAAAAGGGAAAAAGAAAAAAAGAAAAGAAAGAAAAAGCAGTCGAGTAAATGGCGAAGAAAAGAGACAGGAAAACAAAATAAAAGGCTTATCCTTACCAAAGGATCAAGATAGACAAATGTTGTCTCAATGTCTCCCACAATATAACAAATTCAAGAAACCTCTCATTCCACCCACGGTCGAGGTTTTCCCGGGTTGGAGGGGGGTTTTACCGAAAAAGAAAAAAAAAAAGGGAAGTTTGGGGTTAAGCGGAACGGGAAAATCAAAGAGTGTCGAGATTCCGTTTCCCCCCCAAAAGTTTATAAGAGCGAGAGAAGTAAGGGAGGGGGGAGTGGTCAGGATGCCGAGGGGTTGTTTTGCTGGGCAAAAAAGGAGCAGGGTCGGAACCCCGTACCGGTACTTCAGGACCGAGGGGAGCCTCTAAAAAAAGCAGCAAAAGGGTAAGTAAGGAGTATGATGAAATGAAAAAAAAAAAAGCTTGTCGGCACGGGACGAGTAGCAAACACTCCCCTTCTCCCCTTGTAGGAGAGTGAGGTAATGCAGGTGGGTCGTATCCAAGCCTACCCGACCGCTCGTAGAGTACCGTGCCCACCCGAGGGATGGGATGGACGAGCCAAGCAACAATAGATGATGGGGTTAATTGATTGCGGCGGTAGTGATGGTGGCAATGGCAGTTGGACGGGATGGGATGCGGATGGGATGGATGGATGGGATAGCTGAGCGTCTTGGCTGCAACACCAAGAAGGAGAGAAGTGTGGAAAGGGATGGATGGGAAGTTTGGGGGAAGGGGGGAGGGGGAGACTCTGGGCAAAAGAAGTGTATGATGAGGGACTACAGTACTGTACCGGTACTCGAGTGCTCGAGCAGGTATGCTTCGGGCAGAGTGTATGGTATGAACCGGGAGAGCGAGATGGAGAGTGAGCGAGAGGACGAGAACGGAGAGGAAAAGGGTGTAACGGTGGCAGGCAAGTCGGGATGGCAGTGTACGGGTATGATGCTCGTGCCGATACGGCTATTGCTCGTGCTGCACGATGGAGGAGCGAGAGAGGTGAGGGAGAGCAACAGAGTCGGGAAGAGAGCCAAGAAAAATAAAACGAGAGAGGGAAAGGAAGGTAATTTAGGGGAAGGAAATAACGACTGTGGGACCCCGATAGCAAGGGGGACTCTTCGGGGGGCGGAGATCGTCGCTTGGAGGGAAGGGACTTCCAAAGGGCGCGTGGTTGGGCGAGAACACTGAGCTCCTCATACCGTACCGTCCTCCCCAGACACCACCACCGCCCGAGCACTACCGTACCGGTAGTACCACCACCACCCTCACACACCCTCACACACCCATGCCGACATGCGAAGCAGCACTCTCTGCAGATGGACCAGAATTGACATCTCGCAGACAAAAAAGACGCTCAACTGACTTTCCTTCCCATCACGGTACCCTACTCTACTCGAGTACCCGTATAGCCCTCTTTTCCGCCTTTCTCCATCTTTCCTTTCATCTCTCCGCATTCCCCCTCGTATCCCACCCAAACACATTGTCTCCGGACACAAGCTTTTACCCAAGACACAATAGCCCCCAATGGTACTCGAGTATACCACACTAACCCTTCACCCCTCCCCTTGAGAAAAGAAAAGAAAAGAAAAAAAAGGGAGGGTTTCAAAGGCTCAACCAATTCGCAGCTAAGCATTCTGCACTCGCGCCGGGAAAGCATAGAGATCTCTTGGAAAAAATGCTTGTTCCCACCACCACCAGCCCGTCACCCCAAACCCCAACCATCCACCAAGCGGGCACACACCACACACCAAACCCGCACCAAACCCACACATCCCCCACCCACTCCCACACTAAATAACGAATAAAGATAGAAAATTTCAAAAAAAAAAAACAGATATTCGGCGTTCACCTCCGCTCCCTATCTCACAATCACTTTACTCGTCCTTCGCGGCATTTTCTGCCCCCTTTTCCAGACCTCTGAATTACATAGCTTTACACAAGGACCCGACGATTCCGGCACACGTGATATGCACTGATACACGGCTTTCCGTGAGAAACGGCCGCGGTTAATCCCCAATACTCAGCACAGTAGCAGAGTGTAACCGCGCATCCTGTTGTCCGGTTGGCCGAGCTACAAAGCCCCCAAAGCGGGGAGAAAGAAAAAAAATCTTTCATCCCCTATTCTTCGCAGAAAAAGAAAAGAAGAAAAAAGAAAAAACGACAGAGAGGGAGAACCCACTCTCTTGCTTTCTTTTCTTTTCCCCCCCCCCCCTTCCGCAATCAGTTTTTGCGCACACATCGCGGAAAAGGGAATGATCACCGGATAGTCTTTGCCGGTAGTGCTTCCTTTCTTTTCCTTTCTCCTTGCTTGGTGAGGGGAAACAAGCTTTGATGAGTCATTCCGCATATGATAGTCCTGTGTGCCATGGCTATTGTCAACCTCACCGAGGTGAACCAACCACACCATGGGGAAACTTTTTCCACACCTGTACGGTACTGTACTCGAGTACGGTACCGGTATGTGTCCTCGTAAATCAATTAACCAACACCCCCCCCACCCTCTCCCCAATCAGCCCGGTCTTCCACCATGGGCAGGCCGTTGCTTCCGATCCGATCTCATCCCTAGTTCTTGAACGACGCTCTGGACCACAGTATGACCTTTCAATGAGCTTAGCGGTAATGCAGTCTACCGGTACAACAGAAAAGGACGCCCTAATACAGCACGACGGACAGCCACCGAAAAGAAGTGAACGGAATAAAAAATATTGCTACAGACCCTTGTGATGGCACAGCGCTCTACCGTATACGGCATCCCATACGATATTCTGCGGTAGATGTAAGTACCAGTACAGCGCGAGCCTAGCGTCAATAAGCCTCTGGAAGCTCGGCACCCCCGAATAACAACACGCGTTACTGCAGCCTTGAGGCCCAAACGGAAACGTCATGGGTGCTCGTGTGTGTTGGTTCGTCTGCCCCTCGCTGTGATAGGCAGGCGAGGGTGGGAGTGTGGTGCAGGATCTGGCGTAGCACACTACGGTACGGTACTCGAGTGGCTACTCGAGCAAGGTCGAGTCGAGTGCCGGTATGCCGAGGGACATGGGGGATCACTCGGATTAGTTATCTTTTTGAGAGCCGGGGAGAGGGGGGAGTGATCGAGCAGGAAGTCCCGATCGGCGGAGGAGCTTCATGGATTGGTGCAAATTATCGAGCTTGTCGGCCAGCGGGAGAGAGAGAGAGACTAGTGGCCAAGCAGGACAAGTCGGGAGGCTGGCGAGAAAAAGGGAAAAAGAAAGCAGGGGGGGTAAAAAAGAAAAGAAAAGAAAAAAGGGAGACACCAACGCAATTGGTGATCTCAAGATATGTGTAGCGCTCCCACTTGATGCCGTGGGATCCGAGTGGGCAAGAGGAACGGGCGACCACTGTGTCATCATACGGGGGTCCTGAGAAGGGATAAAGGGGAAACGAGAAGCCCGGCTACGATATCCAGGAACAGCAAATCACGACTGCCCGCGCTCGAGAGACGTTTGCGAACACGGCTGCTATTGCATGCCGCCAGAATTCTGCATTTTCTGCTTAGATCTTGGCGCCGTGCAGTTGTGATCGTGCTCACAAACGTCATGCAATCACCGTACCGGTATCGTGCAGTGGAAGCTCATGCAAACAAATTCCGTAGCACTCTGTAGGAATGCGTATGTTAGATACGTGGTCCTACGAGGGACACAGTATCGTTGTGACAGGCACAATACGGTGCACATCGCTCAGCTGTGGAAGATACCGGGGCAACCTAGGGCGGCGAAGTTTAGAAGAGGTTGCGAATCGGTGTTCATGGCCGATATCTGAGGGGGGGGTAGGACCGTAGGAGACTGTGCCGCCCCGGAGGCAGGAGGAGGCTTCTGCTGCTGTCTACTGTACCGGTACTGTACCCGTACAACACCGCCCGGGATTCTCTATCTTCTCTCGGGTATCATCTCAAGCTTGCAACTATCCGCTACGGCTTCGGATAACTGACTCCTACTGTACTCAAGTGGCCGGATTGAAATCAGAAGCCCCCACCGCATAACTCGCTTAGGCACCCTCTGATTTCAATCCGCCCACTTGAGTACCGTACTGCACTTCCAACCTGTGAAATTGGGGGCTGCTGCTGCGCTCTGCAAGTAATCCGCAAGCAATATCGTGCGCAGTCCACGATGTGCCACAGAACCTAAGGAATTCTCATCAGACATTTCCACGGATATGATAAGCTTAGCCCGGCTCGCACATCTAGCACAAATAGAAACGAGTAGGTATGATACCGGTGTTCTACTCGAGTGCAAGTGGTACTGTACCGTAGGGGACAAGTATTCGTATAGGACGGGGGTTATATTGCGGGCCGACCTACTCGTACGAGTAAATCAGCCTTCACCAACCTCCCCTCCCCCCCCGTTGGGAACTCGCGCTGGGTCTCCGGGGGGGAACCAGACACGAGTAAAATCAAAAGCCTCTTCGCCACCGTCCGATATTGTATCATACCCTGCTTATTCCTATGCGGGCAGGGGCCGTAATTCCCCACTGTACTAGTAGTTTCTATGCCCCCCCATTGCCCAGCGCTGTACTCGAGTAAAGCGAGGGAGGCGTGGAAGCGAATAAATACGGTAGCAGTCCTCGAGTGCATTGTTTAACTTATCCTGTATCATATACGAGAAACAATCAATAAATTGGTATCTATTTTACCCGTGAATCGTGGACGCCTCGCTCGATAGGCTGCTATTACTAGTCCATCCACATAAACCCTACCACCCCACCTTACCATACGACACTTGTGGTACTTTACCATATCGCTCAAACGTTTATCTATCCTGGGCCCCATGCCGAGATACCCGTGGTCAACATTGCTACCCCAACTCCAACGGCTGTGGTTGGAAAAACCCATCGAAACGCGTCATTATCATCATCCACTAGCACTCGCCTCACCGGATGCCGAGATTATAGTGATGTCTCATGCCAACCACACTAGCGTCTCCTTCCTGATCACTCCACGAGTCCCAGCTTTTTGATCGCCGTCCAGTACGAGAGGTCCAGGCACAATGAAATTTTTTTCACTACGGACAGCACCAAGAGGAGGAGGGCCGTAGAACGGCTATCTTCACCGTTGCACCTGTAGAAAGTCAATCAACCGATACAACCCATATAATTTAATATCCTTTCACAGAGATCATCCCATTTCTTGCTCTCCCCCCCCCATACAATATTACTCGCACTGCTGCATAATCCAACGTGGATGACGAGTTGCATCACAGGGGATAAAACGTAGCTCCATAACCAGGACTCGCCCTGATAGATGGGCTATCGGTATCTAGAATGAGATAGTTTAGCCTGAAATCCACCAGCCCAGTGCCAGTCGGGCACTGGGAAAAAAGCTTGTTTGTATGCAATGGAAGGGGCGGGGGGTATCGATTCTGCGGGGAAAATCCCCTATCGAGAATTTGCTGTCGGAATTGGCGTCTCTAAAATATAGTAGTGTCGTGCGAATGGTTGAAGGTCTCCGTTCCGGTGCTAGTGACTATGTTCAGGGCATGGGGTTTCCGTAAAGTACCGGTATGATAGATTGCTTCACATGCCACCTCCGGATTTCCGTATGGCAAGGAGCGGAGGGGGATCATTTCCTTCTGTCGAGTTTGCTGAGTCTGCTGAGTGTGCTTCTGGAACGGGTGGGGAGCAACAGCGCTGTACTGGTGGACAGCGATGGGATCGGAAAGCTTGTTCGTGGCTGGATTGATGTGATTGTTCTATTGCCCTGTGCTGGTGCGGTGATGGAGGGGTGAGCACTGCTCGAGATGGTGGTTTTGTTATTCGAACCTGTTGGGTGAATGGTGCTCTGTCTATTCACCCATCCTGGATCGTACCGCACTCGAGTGACTTACTTGTGTAGCACGGTAGGGAACGGCGCATTTCACCGTGTTGTACTCGAGTAGTTGTATGAGTGGGGGGAATGAGGGAGCACGAGATCGATTCCCTCGTGCTTGCACGGGCACCGTACTGTACTAGTACAGTACCGGTATTGTGCTGCCTACGGAGGCAGCACCGGCAAGTGCTCGATGGATGCTCACTCCCCCGACTTCCGGGGAACGTTTTCGTCTAGAGCACAGTAAGTAAATAATGTTTACTCTGGTCTGCTACTAGACGGGCCTTTCTACTTCCCACGATATCACAGGGCTGATAAGTTGTATCTTTCGGGCTCATCCGGTACTCCGTCGGGTCGTCCTGACACTACGGTACCTATCGGGGAGTGCGCGACCGCTCGATCATTTGTTCTGCCTATCTGCCTGTCGTGGCCTCCCCTCTCCTGACGAGCTCTCGCTGTCGTTCTTGCTGGTGCCAAGCCTCGCAATTGGATGCATAACGCTTTTATTTTTGAAGGAGTCGCGCGCTTAATAAAAATTCACCGTGCAGAACGGGGCATTAAATGTCTGTTCAGGTCAATTACGGTATCCCCTTCTGAACCGCCCATGCACAAGAGTCTGGAAAACTTAACTTACCTTATTCGTCATCCCCCACCCCTATCTCTGGAAAATGGCACGAGTGGACACTCTCCGGTACTCGAGTACCGGTACTCGTCCTGTAGTGTACCCCGCACGCTATCTACAAGTACTCGGCCGGCGGGGGGCTGAAAATTTATTACCACCCCTGTCTGTTTCTGAGACCTAGATGACTAAGGAGAGTTTTACTCTTTACACCCATATTGCTTAGCGGTTATCATTGTACGAGTAGGTGTGGCCATGCCGGCTACCGGCACCAGTACTCGAGTACAGTGTATTAGTTTTGGTCTGAATCTACGCATCTGGTCAGCTGAATTGATTTTTGGATACCGGTCCCCGAATACGGTACGGTACTGGTACACATGTGGAAAATTTTGGTATTGATGAAATGTTGCCTGCCGTATTAAATTTAGGTTGACTTCTGTCTCAGAAACTGACCGGGGCAGGGCGGAATATTCGGTGTCTTGCGGGTCCAAGGGATACGGTACTGTACTCACCCATTTTTACAGCACGACACCGAGACTGGTTCGGAGAGCTTACGGTATTCATCATGAAGCTCATTTCGGACATGATCCAATTTCGTTTAACTTCACGGGTTACCCGGAGGTAATGCGTCGCTTAGAGCGGAGCAAGACGAGAGGTGCGACAGCCGTATCGTAATGAGGACCCACAGTATTACGGGACTAGCCCACCGGCCGGTGGTTTTTCATCAAACGACCGATTCTATTTTGACCATTACCAGCTTTCCCCGTGGAACAAACATTTGTCAGCGGTGTTCTGCCAGTGACTGTACGAGCACCCTGGTAAAGTATCATGGGAGTATTGCCAGCGCAGGAGTCGGCTGACTGGCTAGTAGAATGATATTGGACGAAACTGCAATATGATTGTTCGTGGGAAACACGGATTGTTCCGCTACAGGTGCTTTGATTGACGGGGGTGCAGGGAGTGCAATTCCGGGATTGGCTTTCTTCTGAAAAGCTTGTGGCGGCGGCGATCAGTCAATGGGAAACAGCCATCGACGCATTGGTCGAATGCAGGAAATTTTGGGGGAAACGCCTTTGGCTGAATTTTCTCAGTTTGTGTGCTCCCTTTCTACCGGTACTTAGTACTGCTACCGGAGTGGGGAGTAAACGATGGGATAATATTCTAATTCAGCTCACAGAATATTGACAGCGCTAAGCGACCTCCACTCAAGGCGACCACTACACCGTGCTGCCTAACTGTGGATATCACCTTATCGGCAATTAAATGTTCGGAAATCTAACTTTGCCTGTTGGGATCCCAATTTTCAAACTACCCAAGGCTGCCCGAAGGAGCAAGTTGAATTGCACTTGCTCTGGGGCCTGGAATGCCGGGCCCTGTGATGTTCCCGGTGAGATCTGTTTAGTGCAAGATTGTTTTGAGATTCGTTCTGGGCCTCAATCTTGTGATGCTCGACGGTTTGTTCATTAAAGGGTAATCCTTGGGCTGCAAGCTGGGTCTACCGATGAAAGGAGGAGCCGAAGCTAGTTCCCATGAAGGGTGGTGGGTTGAGAGCCCTGGTGAAGGGAAGTGTCCACCGTTCGGTATGGAGAGAGTGATTCTTCGTGATGAAATGCACTGATATGAAGCAGACTGGAAATCGTCTGCAAATCGGTAACCAAGAAGGAATAGTCAATAACGAAACAGCTATCAAGAATATATATATACATATATAACAGGAAGCAAAGAAGGAGCAGGAGCCAAACGAAACACACAAAAGCATAAAAATCGAAAAGAGGATGCACTTCTTCATCTCCCTGGTCATGGTCTTCCCCCTCGCCGCCTGGTGCGCTCCAAACCCACAGGGAGGCACAACACCCACTACAGCAACTACCAAACCTTCACCGTCCTCATCGTCCTCACAATCCCCATCGCCCACTCCAGCTCGAAATCTCGTACCCGTCGGAGCCGCATTGACCACACAGGGAAAGCAAGAGGCTATCCGGACAAGCTTCATGAACCACGACAACGGGAACATCTCGGCGACGGTAGAGTTCAAGTGCAACCCTACCCAGTCCTCTCCACAGCTCAAGGACGTTGAGGCCCTCTCCGGCCACTACCTCACCAAATCCACACCCCTCATCACCTTACCCAGCGGCGGCGGTGCAGGCAGCTGCGTGCCGCTCGAGGAGAAGAAAGATGTCAGCGCCGCAAAGCTGGAGGCTTGCAGCAACGACACGAAGATCATGTATCCTGAGGTCGGAAGGGTTCTGCAAATGCTCCAGGGCTACTGTGCGAAAGATATCGATGGCACCAAGTTCGTTGGCGGATCCATGGAGTTTACGGCTATGGGGAAGGTGACTTTTAGCATTAAGGTCAATACGGCGTAGTTAGTGAAGGGATTGAATTGGGTTGGTTTGGCTTTCTCTTTTTGTGTGGTGTATTTTGGGGTGTATTGTAACTTAGGTCTTGTCGGGTTGAAAATTGGGATATTTTCCTTCCTCGTTTTGTTTTCTTTTCTCTCCACCACTGGCTAGGTTCTTTCTGTCTACGTGGAGAAGGGCTGTTAGGGATCTTTCTTGCCATATTTTGTGTTGCCGGCGCATGTAGTTTGACGGAAGGGTAGGTTCGTCACTATCACTCACCCTTCCAGAATTCCTGCCCACTGTGGGTATCGTGATATCCCGTGTTGGGGGAATCCGGCACAATCAACACTGCAGGGGATAAAGCGGGGATTAGGGTTGGGGTTCAGCTCCACTTAACCAGGGTGTGAAAAATTAAATCACGCCACAATTTATCACTGGCCCACTTCCAATGCCGAAAGTCAGGCCACGGGCTGGATTTGTGGCCTTCCGCCCCTCCTATCCATGTTTTTATTTCGCAACGGTGTTCGTACGGACGTAGGGTGCAAGTCTGGCCCGCGGGTGTATCTCGGGGGTCTGCAGCCTGGTAGGGCTTGGACAAAGTGAAGATTGTCTGGGCTTTTGCAAGCACAGACTCTCCAAAGCCTCCGGGTCTCATGGGCGGCGGCCGGAGCCGGCAGGATTCTGGCATACTCCATGTGGCTAGCAAGTACTTCATCGATTGGTAGCAGGTATCTCAAGTTACTTAAGTATGTGCGGGTGGCTGTAAATCTCTTCTTCAGTGGCGTGCCGATATCCTCACAGGGCCACAGACCTCTGCCGATGATTGCGGATATCCACTAACAATATCCCCAGACATGAAGGGAAGTTATCACGATTCGTGTTGCGGGCTCCATTGGGTGATATAATTTCGTGTGACACTATTCTTCATAATGTGTCACTCGTTAAGATCGTAAATTGATGACTGCTGTCGGGAAAGAAGCTTAATTTTCTCGCCACATGCGAAGCTGTGGGGGTTTATGCTAAACTGAACTACAAAGTGAAGGAAAGAAGCATTCCTTGGGAACCCGAGATCGGTAATATGAGAACCTCGGGGGGAAGGAAGCATTTGATAAGGCCTCGGAGAAGGAAGAAAAACATATGAGGACCTCGGAACGGAGAAGAGAGGAAGAAAAACTCAAATAGTGACTAACGTTGAAGAGAGTGGTGAGGAAAGTACTAGGAAAAATTAGATCGAAGGAAACTGGCCTGTCTGTTTGACCGATGAGCACTAAATCCAGCGAAGGTAATTCTCCTCCCGCACGGTCCTTAAATATCCTGGAGGAAGCACCCGCTCATTCCCTAGCACTCGAGTCACATATCGGCTTGAAGCGGCGCCGGTGGAACGATACCGGGATATCCTGGATTGTAAAAATACGAATACCCACCCGCGTGCTGCTACTTCCATCGTGGATCCCCCCAATATTGTTCCACTACCGTTCTGCAGTAGTTTAATTGCCCCCTGGCGCACGATAATTTCTGGATTGTTCTATACGGACGCCCACCCCACGATGGATATTCCGAGGACGCAGCATAGACACTAGCTAGAGGGAGCAGAATATTGGGGCTCCTGCTAGTGGTAGATTGGCAAAACTAGGTCTTGGCTTCTCGCATCAGTTTCTTTCTTTCCTTCTTTCACATTCTTCTAGCTGGCTGGTCCATCAATTAGGCTATTAGGTAACCGAAATACTCATGCAATCACTCCGAGCAAGGAGACTCAGCATGGGAATCGGGGTAGTGTTGGCGAGAATGGTATCGCATACTGTATTGCTAAACCGAGAGCCCGGAAGAGAGAATAATATCTTTGCCGATATACGGTATCATGCAGGGTTTGCCCTCTCTACTTTAAAAGTATCAATACAGTTACCATAAATGTGGTAATAACCAAGTGATTTTGAGTGAAAGGGTGGGGGATTTTCGCACCATAGTTAGCGTATAATAGTGCACGTTATGGGAAAATACTCGATGTGCATACTCACAGTTCGGTTTTTGTTTCCAGAATCATGTTCATGATATCCATGCACAAATCCACGCACATTGCATTGAACTTAGTGTCCATATCGAGTCTCATCTCCGCTCATTTTTTTAATGCCATCCTCTTTTGGCAGCTATCTTTTGAAGCAGGGGAACAAACTTTTGGTTTCTTCACTGCGTTTGATGGACTTTCTCAAGAATTATGTTGTAGTGCATGTCAAATAGAAGCAAAATTCACTAGGAGCCTTGATAACCTCAATGATAACACATTCTATTGCACAGCTAACTCTGAGCCCTAACATTACTTGTAGTTACAATATTGACCGAAATTCAATCAATTGTAACTTATAGCCAAAAACCCAGGTATAACCAGCTCTGCCGTAGAATAAGGCACTTGGCCCGTGTTTTCAGTCACTTTTTTTTTGGGGGGGGGGGGTAAAACCTTCACTTATCTCTCTTGTCAATCAAGCTTCCGACCGAGAGCTTCAGCCATCCAATTTAGCTGAAGGAAAGGGAAAGTAATTTTATGGAGCAAGAAATATTAACTATTGGGACCCTGCTAACTTCTCGCCCTCCCCTATATCAGGTTCTTTTTTTTCTTCCCAACCCCGACATTCTGAGTTTACTACCAATGGTGATCAGGAAGAGATAGATCTAAGGATCACTCTCGGCTGTTCCAATGTGTGGGCACTCGGTTTATCTGTCATGGTACGCCTCCCTCTTTGGCCCCAAACTCTTCGGGAAAGTAGTCCCCAGGCAAAAAGAGGTGAATGGAAACGTTCCCAAGAGTTTTTTTGTCTTATTCGCTGTGCAGCCCATTTGGTAAACCCAGAGACTCCAGTGAAGCGCTCATTTCGCCTCCTGTATTAAGGCAAGTGTTGGATACAGAGAGTGAATTTTTGAATATTTTAGTATGTTGAAATTGTTTAAACCGGGTTATAAGAGTTCTGAGTATCAATTTTTTTTTCCCCGGCTGTATACTTATTTAAAAGAATTCTGTAAAGGTCTTCAAATACTACCTACTTTCATGTTTTATCCCTCCTGTACCACTTATCCCTCCTATGCCACAACTTTATTATATAGCATTAAGCCAATTAGATAAGCTAGTAGTAATTTAACATATCTAGTATGATAAATTGGTGTTAAGTGCATGCAGTTATATGTACAATTATTGTAAGCCTAAGCCTCAAGGAATATAAAATTAGTAGAAGATTCAGGCATGATTTGGTTGTAGAGAATATTATTGAATTATGAGAATGGTAAAAATGCAGTGTTTGTGATTATGTAGAATGTATGAAAGATATCTAACCTGTCTAGCTTGTAGAATTCAAAGTATATACAATACCAGCAGCTGAAAACCAAGCAAACCTCCTAGTAAAGCAATCAGAACTTGAAACTGATATGCAGGAAATAGTAGATATTAGAAATGAGGTTGACAAACAGGCTGCTGATTGGTAGTGGGAATGCAAGATATATGATAGAAGCAATCTTGAGATAAGTAGAGGTGTAGGTAGGATGAACATGGAATTGGAACTAGAATAATAAAAATCCAATTAATTTATTTTCTTTAGATACCATAAAAACTGAACTTGAAATAATCGAACAGTATGCTAGGTCGTTGGAGTTGCCTCCCCTGGTAAGATCAGTTTTTATTTTACTTTATTTTTTTTTATGCCTCTGAGGGGGCTGAGTAGCTCCGTTTCTGCTGTGTTTTTCACCCCCCCTTTCTCAAGTGGGTAATTCTCGACTACATAGCACACGGTTCTGTTACTTGAGTTTTTACGGTATCTAGTAGGCTTGATATTGTATGATAAAATTGTGATATAGGTGTGATGGGTGGTATCATACAGGAGGGATAAAACATGAAAGTGGATGGTATGGGAGACCTTTACTGTTAAAAAAAATCGCTACTCCGGTGCAGTGCCCTCAATATCCTTACACCTCCCCTCCCCCAAACCACCTACGGGGGCCTCCCCATCTCTCAAAGCATTCCTTCTCTCCCGCTCACCCCCCGATAGACCCTCCTCCTCTCGCCGGACCGCCGCCTCCGCCCCCCCTGATAAAGAAAGCAGCCCCGCCTGCAGTATCCCCAGAATCCTCCTCTCATAAAGGTACGTTGAGTAATCTGCCGGCCTGGAGTAAATAATCCGTGCCTGGCACCCCTGCAAATGTCCCAGTGTGAACCGGATAAGTCCCACTTGCGGCGCAGTGGTTGGGAGGCGTAAATAGATATCACAGAGGGCGTTGAGGAAATGCGCGAAGGCAGTGGTGATGCATATTTCCGCGAGGAGGTTGCGAGTTCTTAGGTGGGACATTTTTGATTTGTTTCTGGATCGTGTGTGTATCTGGAGTTTGTGGAGGGGGAATTAAAGAGTTGAGCAAGCCTTTTCCATTTAGAAGGGATAGGCGAGATTTTTTATTTGAGGGTTCTATCATCCTGATTTTCAAGACCGCCGCTGAGGTTCCGAAGCATGCCGTTTCTTGTTCGAGTGATGTTTGGGCGGGCATGTTCAAGTTGGGTAGTGAGACAGAGTCGCTGGCCAATAGAAGTCGTTTAGGAACCATACAGAGCCCGAAGCACAGCAAAATTGCTGGTTTTCAAGCCACTCTTTCTCTACAGATATCTTTGAAACTCAGCTTCGGAAAGAGGTAAAGAGTAGCATGTCTAATATATGGTATATATTTATTTTAGGCTCTTTACTAAAGCCTATAGAGAGCGATGAGCATCCGAACAGGGAAAGGCTGGTTCCAACGCATCTTTTCCACACAAAACCAAGGGTCTTGGCAGGTACCATGAGGGAAAGGACATTCCAGACCACTACTCTACGAAAATTGAACGGAGAAATGCCAACCCTGTTTATGTGGATGTCATTGTAGGAAGTTACTTTTTGAATTTTTTTTCTATATTGCTTCCGGCGATGGTGGCTGGGTAAGGATAGCTCCTCGAAACCCTTCATTTTTGGCGTGCTTTGGCCTCTCTATGGTTGCTAAACGACCTCTATTGGGGGCACGTGATCAGATTTCTCGAGAGATCAAAGAGTTTGCCGAGGTGAGAGTTCGCATATTCGAAGTTGGGCGACGACGTTTTGTGAATGGAAAGAAAGGGCGAAAGGATGATGCCTCTAGTCCATCCTCCTTGCCAGAACTCGAGATCTTCTACGAAGCCTGCCCTCAATTGCTGTACTGTACCCCGGGTACCAAATTCAGGTATGATGCATACAGCGGGCAATTTGGAACATTGGAGTTCAATGTTGGCCCAATACGAGATGCAGTAATCCGGTACTGTATCACTCAATCTAACTATTTTTTGGCACCCCAAATACCCCCAGAACTTTAGAAATAACTTACTTAAACCTTCAAGAACATGACTACCTACAACGGGCAAACACTGGATAGCTACTGTAGGCTCGGGTGGCGACCATCCACAATATGACGCCCCACCTTACATTGTGCCACGCTAGAAAAAGGAAAAGAAAAGGGAAAAACGTAATACGGTCTGATGATCTGATAGTGTCAACCTCACCCAGTCCAGCCAGCCAGCCCGATCGGGGGAGAGAAGGGAGAAAACACCACGGAGGGATCTATGATAGTCTACGTTCACAAACCACGGTTACAGTCCCCCACCACCCACCAAGGGCGCAACAACCCTAGAAAGGGGGGGCGGAAAGCAAGGAAAGGAGGAAGGAAATTTTACAATATCACTCACTTTGGAGAATATATTCCTCTGCTCCTGTGCGGAATTATGGGGTCTATGAGGTATCCTAAGGGATAAGAACTACTCCTGAGGGGAAATTGTCTAGGACTATGAGTGTCATGGTTATGGTTGTTTGAGCGGGTGCGTAGGGTTATTTAAATTTACTGCAATTCGACTTTGAATGGGGAAGTTGAGTGCCAAGTCGGGGGAAAGGATCGGTTTGGGGGGTCTTGGAAAAAGGCGTTGGGAAACCGGGTGCAACCTTGACTTTCCAATTGCGGAGGTGATAGTCAAGGGGTGGCTACGTTACCTACTCTGCTGTTTCGTGACAGTATCCTCTCCCCAGGGTCCGTGGTCATCGCTATTTGCCTCTTGCAGTCTATCGCAACACGGAGTCCCTACTAATCATTCTTTGAGCTCAAGAAGTGTCCTCCCCGCGGCACGGCAATACGGTAGACAACTCAGAACTTAACCCTTGAGGAATAAAAGTAATAATAAAAGCTTGATGTAATTACCGGCATATACCGGTATAAGTAGGATAGATACTACCTATCTCTCTCCCCTCCTACTTTAGATAGCCGGATATGTATACATGGCGCTCGTATTGGGCGCTTACTTCCGGGCCGCCTTGATAATATCCGCCGCCTATAGGCCATTTCATTGCATCCATTAGCAAGCTTCACCCCCAACAAGTAAAGCCGCACTGAAAAAAGAGAGATGTACCTTCTCGCCAATCGCATACACAGTAGATGCAAGGTGGCTTCCTGGGATCAACGGCATAATGCTCGCGTCCACAACCCTCAAATTCCTAGTCCCATAAACCATCAAATTGTGGTCCACAACACCTCCAATCTCCCTCGGTTGCATGGCCGCGGTCCCGCTTGGATGGAACATTGTGGACAGGTTGGCCCTCGTAAACCCGAGGAGCTCCTCATCCGCCTGCAGCAACTGGCCAGGAGTCAACTCTGTCGGAGCGAGTTCCTGAATCGCCGGACTCTGCACAATGCGGCGATTGAAGCGGAGCGCTTCGACTAAGAGGCTGAGATCGACTGGGTTGCTTCCAGTGCGCAGATCCACGATCGGAGCGGCGTGGGGATCTGTCGAGTTTATTTCTATGAAGCCGCGACTGAAGGGGTGGGCGATGGAGATGGAGAGGGGCATTTGGAAGCGTCGGTTGGCACCGCTGAGCCATATAAACTCCATTGCAGCTGTGCGCGTCCCCGCGAGCCGGTTGAGGAGGATTTTGTGGTGCTTTTGGAAACCAGCTGTTACTGCTGGCTCGAGATCATTACGGAGGTGCTGTCCTGGCTCCTGGGCTGTATAGGCACCTAGCAGGATCTCCGACTTGTTGGTGTAGGTTGATAGAGGAAGGAAAGCGATTGAGTTGGGACTTCCAGCTGTCCATGGGCCTGGATTCTTTTGTTAAAATTGAGAGAGGTATTATGGGAGAGATGGAGACGAGCCTTCGCGGCTACTATAGAATAGAGCTTTAGACTCCGCATCCCAGCTTGCGTTTAATTCGAGATCGATAACTGAGTGTTCAACATTCTCCACTGGTTGCTCTGAATTAACATCATGCCCGATTGTTCAGAAAAACATTGGATACATACGCTTTAGAGCCATAGTAACAACTGTTTTCGTTCATAATATGTCAGCCAGGGAGCTAGTGGTCATGCTTTGGAGTAGTCTCAAAGGCACCACAATGGGGTATCATCGGTCCGGCGCGTATCTAGTAGACCCGGATGCATCCCGGGATCGCATCCTTGATATTTTCCTCTTGCACTAGTAGGAAGTTAGACTCACATGGGTGATCTTGGAAGTTCTGTCCGCTATAAATACGGTCTGCTCTTAGCACGCTTTGAAACCAGCTATAGAGCCGAGAACTGCTTACACGCCAGGTAGGTCAATTAAGACTGGGATGCCCAGTTTCTCCAGGAGACTCTTCTGCCCAATTCCTAAAAATGTGGTTAGATTGGAGAGTGGTTTGCAGAGGAGCTGGGGGGAGCGACGAACCCGAGAGTTGTAGAATCTGCGGAGTGTGCACGGCGCCTGCAGAAATAATAACCTCTTTCTTAGCCTTTGCTATATATTTGGTAGCATCCCCGGTTTTAACATACTTCATTTCATAGTCGTTAGGATCCACAAGTCAATACTATCATGGAAACTTACTTCAACCCCACAAATTTTCACCCCTTCACCGCTCTCTTCGTCATCGTCCTCAGTGATCAGTTTAGTCACGTGTCTGGAGGTGTAAACATGCAGATTTTGTCGGTCAACAAAGTTATCGAAATACGCACTGCGTGCGTATGAGCGTGTCATGTTCTTTGGGTCAATTGAGTTTGGGGACCAAAAGGCGCCCAACGCTTCCCCAGCTTGATCCAGTGATTGAGCAACGCCTAGCGATTTCATTGCTTCTTGGAAATTTTCTACCCCGGCTATTAATACAGTAACACGGCCCAATTAACACAAACCTACTAGTTTGTGGGTATATAAAGTTCGGGTAACCAGACTGAACGTATCCATCGAATCCGTGAACCGCGGGATCGTAAGTGATTCCAAACTGGGCCACGTGCTCCGGTTTTGGTGGCGTAAAGGTTTCACTCTTTGCAGCATTAGGAAGCATTTCACGATGTCGCTGAAAGTGCTAGATAACTAACCTTTTTGAAATATGGTAAGAGACCATCCCAGCCCCAACCGGGATTCCCGAGATCCTCCCACATATCGTAGTCACCAGGGGCACCCCGATCAAACATCATGCCGTTAAGCATAGAGCTCCCGCCCAAGGCTTTCCCGATAAAGAGACTCTGGCCTCGGCCGTTCAGGTATATCTGTGGCTCCGTCGTGATGTTCCAATCGTACACCGTCCGCATGGTATCCCCAAGGCATCTCTGAAGAATGGCCGCACATTCTTTGCGATCCGGTATTCCTGCCTCTAGAACAAGGACAGTTGCTAGTCAAGGGTTTTAGCCCATTTGAACAAAAGAAGATAAAATTTTAGAACTGAAAAACTTACCATCAGGATCTTCTGACAATCTATTAGCTACAGTGAGGCCCTGGGTGTATTGCTTAGTTGTGGGCGATGTGTAAATTAGGAGGCTAATTAAACTTACGGCAGTCCCTCCGCCTACTATGACATAGGTATAGGAGTCTAGTAGCTGTTCCTCCTTCCCAATGAGCTTGCCCAACACCAATGTTGCCATGAAGGCACTCGCTACCGAGAAGAGTAGAACCAATCGCCCCAACATTTTTGCAGAATACGGGAGAACAGAGGACTGATGCCCGTGCCCGCAAAGTCAGAGCTACACAGGGGAATATATACCCGTGCCTGCTCCTCACAAGAGGGGTACACCTCCTTAAACACGTTGTTGATTAATACGAATTCCGACCTCAACCCTGACCCATGCACCACGTGGGATTGGCCTTGATTTTAACCGAGTACCCGCACCATGAACAATACTCTCGGCACTTCGGAGGACTGGCTCTTGTGAGCAGGGTTTCTGTAGGGCCAAGGCGGGGACCGTTACCGGACGCAATACGGGTTGGTTGGCATCATGGGCAAGACGTGGGTTCTCAGTTGAGCAGCGGGACCGGCCGCTCCCAAGTTACACCGCACCTATAGACTTAACCCGCACCTATAGACTTAACCCGCACCTATACAACACGGGAATTATCGAGGGGAAAGATTTCCATCACCTCCTGCGGGCGGTGATCAATGAGCAGGTTATCGCTAAGTGAAAGGGCGATCCTCCTACTCCCTGTCACTACCGGTATCTGATATGGCGTTGGAGCAGCACTTTTTGAAATACACACGGGACCATGCCTGAAGATGGAATTCACTATTTTCTCGCCGATACCCTGCGCTAGCAACAGAAGTCTGCTGCAGGCTCCCGCGTCTTATCACGCATGCAATTAAAGTGTGTTCCTCCGGTGAGTAATCAGAGTGGCCTCCTTACACAAGTACAGTACTGTACCTTGCCAGGAATTTCTGGGTGACGGATAAATGGGTGTAACATGACGGTAATCATACTGCTGTAGCTGGTCACTCGACTGCAAGGCCGTACTGTACTATGCGGCGGTCTTCTTGCCGGTGGGCTAGCCCCAACAAGCATTGGACCCGATGCCTAGAAACTACTCCACTCTCACCCATTTGAAAGAGCCAGGCCGTCACCCCTCGAGATGCTTGGTATTAGCTCACCCTGATCTTCCTAAGGTACAATATAATGCCTTTGGGGTTTCCTGTGCACGAACTTTGTTGACCTGTAGTGGCAGGATGTGAGTTTACAGACGTATCTGTCAGCTGTAGATATCAAGAGAAATAAAACAGAAGGCGGGATCCCTGAACCTAGCTCTACGAAACTAGGCTGAATATCCCTGATATTGCGCAAAACGAGGTACAAGTGCGATATCAGATATACCAATCTGAGCCTCCGCATCCGCAAAGAGTGCCTTACCTAGATGCCAGCTCAACTCTACGGAACCAAGTTGGAGAGGTACCCGCCGGATAGGATGACGGTTGGCAGTTTCGGTAGTGAGAAATGAATATTTTTTACGCTTAGACGCGATTAGCGAAGCCTTGTTGAGCCACAGTAATGAGTTCCCCAACCAACTTCTCTAAAAGCATTGCCCGCAGGATCATCAGGAAGGGGTTTCCGTTCCTGGCTGGAAGCATACCGGTACTGTACTGTACCGGTAGATACTGATACAACACTGGGCCCGCAAAGGAATAACTCCCCTTATTAGTTATCGGTACTAGCATCCCTCGCGAAGTTGCGTTACGCTCTTGTATTCCCAGACCTAACCTAGCAATAGTGCAACCCACGAGATTGAGCCCCCTAATCTCCCCCCCGCTTTCTGAATCTACGTCAGAGTCTTGTTTGCCTTGTTTGTCCCTCCAGTAGTGATAACGGGGCCCGGCGATTGGCGGAAATTCTGGTTACGGATACTCGTTTACCTCCCTCCAAAAATCATGTTGTGAGCCTTCCATGAAAAATAACGAGAACTAACTTTTTGCGGGGCACTCCTCTATGATATCGTCAACATGACGGCTATTGTGACAGACAGTCCCAGGCTCGTGAGTGGTAATCCAACATTTTGATGGTGAAGTGGGAGAGCGAACTCCCGGGACAATAGCATTCTACTCGCCATATCTGGCTTGATCCCCAGTGGGGCGAAAGTACTTCCTTTGGGGTGCTTTTGCAGTCTAATACCGGCAGTGCACGGTAGGATTGTGCGTGTGTGCTGTACTCACCTAGAATAACCCGACTACTGAGCGATGGAAAGTAAGAAAAACCAGTTGACGTAGTGATATTCTCGGCTCTCTCCAATTGCCGCGGCCATGGGAGAGGAGTTACCTTCAAGGAATTAGACCTTAGGTCGCCCTCATCCCCGTCTTAATCCTGTCCGACCCTCTCGCGATATTTTACTGTACAGTACAGTACTAGCACCCGGCCTCCCGTCGCACTGTAGGGTCCGGTGTCCGGACAGGTGCT